GAGAATCCTAAAAGCAACAAGATATAAGCAACAGGTTACCTACAAAGGAAACCCCATAAGGCTCTCAACTGACTTCTCACAAGAAACACTATAGGCCAAAAGGGAATGGCATGAAGTAATCTAAGTCATGAAAAAAAAAAGAATCTGAATCCAAGACTACTCTACCCAGCAAGGCTATCATTCAAAATAGAAGGTCAAATAAAGAGCTTCCCAGACAAAAAAAAGGCTAAGGGAATACATTAGCACCAAACCAGCACTGCAAGAAATGTTAAAAGGACTGCTGTAATTACCAGGAGAAATGGGAAGAAAAATAGAACCACACTAAACAAAAATGGCAATAAATAAGTACATAACAATAATCACCTTAAATGTAAATGGACTGAATGCTCCCATAAAAAGACACAGAGTAGCTGATTGGAAAATAAAGCATGACTCATCTATATGTTGTTTACAAGAGACCCACCTCACAACAAAAGACTCACAAAGGTTGAAAGTGAAGGGATGGAAAAAATCTGACAAGCAAATGGAAAGCAAAAAAAGTTGGGGTAGCAATTCTCATATCTGATAAAATAGATTTCAAAACGAAGACCATAACTAGAGACAAAGACGGCCACTACATAAGATTGAAAAGATCTATCCAACAGGAAGATATAACCTTATAAACATATATGCACCCAATATAGGAACACCAAAATATATTAAAAATCTTCTGGAGAACTTCCAAGGCGAAATCGACAACAATACAATCATAGCAGGGACTTCAACACCCTGTTGACAGCACTGGATAGAACCTCAAGGCAAAAAATTAGCAAGGAAACAGAGACTCTAAATGAAGCACTAGACCAAATGGATTTAATAGATTTCTACAGAGAATTATACCCCAAAACTACAGAATACACATTCTTCTCAAGTTCACATGGGACATTCTCCAAGATAGACCACATGATAGGACACAAACTAAATTTCTGCAAGTTCAAGAAGATTGAAATCATATCAAGCATCTTCTCAGATCACAATGGCATGAAACTAGAAATCAGTTGCAACAAGAACATGTAAAGACATTTCAACACATGGAGGCTAAATAGCATGTTATTAAACAATGAATGGGTCACCAAGGAGATCAAGGAAGAAATTTTAAAATTCCTGGAAACCAATGAAAAAGTAGACACAACAACACAAAATCTATGGGATGCAGCGAAAGCAGTTCTGAGAGGGAAGTTCATAGCACTACAGGCCTACCTCAAAAAACAAGAAAAATTTCTAATTCACTGTCTAAACTCACAACTTAAAGAATTAGAAAGCAAACAAAAAGAAAACCCTAGAGCAAGTAGAAGGAAGGAAATAGTAAAGATCAGAGCAGAAATAAATGACATAGAGACCAAAAACACAATTCAAAGGATCAATGAAACAAAGAGATGGTTTTTCGAAAAGATAAACAAGATTGATGGAACCTTAGCTACACTCACCAAGAAACAAAGGGAGAGAACCTAAATTCACAAAATCAGAAAAGAAAGAGGAGAAGTAACAACCAACACCACAGAAATACAAAAGATTGTTAACAACTACTATGAACAAGTATAAGGCAACAAATATGACAATCTAAGTGAAATGGACAAATTTCAGAAACACACGGTCTCCCAAAACTGGACCGGGAAGAGATAGAAAACTTGAACAGACCAATAATAACTAAGGAAATTGAAGATGTAATTAAGACTCTCCCAGCAAACTAAAGGCCAGACCCAGATGGCTTGAGGGGGGAGTTTTACCGAACATTCGAAAAAGAACTAACACCCATTCTCTTCAAACTATTTCAAAAAATTCATGAAGAAGGAAGACTTCCAAACATGTTCTATGAGGCCAGCATGATTCTAATTCCAAAACCAGAAAAAGACACTACGAGGAAAGAAAACTACAGGCCAATATCCCTGATGAACATAGACGCCAAAATCCTGAACAAAATATTAGCAAATCGGATCCAGAAATACATCAAAAAAATTATTCACCATGACCAAGTGGGATTCATTCCAGGAATGCAAGGTTGGTACAATATTCACAAATCAATAAATGTGATACACCACATAAATAAGATGAAGAATAAAAACCACATGTTCATATCAATAGATGCTAAAACAGCATTCTACAAAACCCAGCATCCATTTTTGATAAAAACACTCAGCAATGTGGGAATAGAGGGATCGTATCTCGACCTAATAAAGGCCATATATGAAAGACCTACAGCCAACATCATGCTCAAAGGGCAGAAACCAAAAACATTTTCCTTAAGAACAGGAACAAGACAAGGATGCCCACTTTTGCCTCTCCTATTTAACATAGTACTGGAAATCTTAGCCACAGCAATCAGACATGAAGAAAAAATAAAAGGGATCCATATTGGAAAGGACGAAGTGGAACTGTTATTATTAGCAGATGACATGATATTATACATAGAAAACCCTAAAGACTCCATCAAAAATCTACTAGACATAATAAATGATTTTGGCAAAGTAGTAGGATACAAAATTAACGTCAAGAAATCGACGGCATTCTTGTACACCAATGATGAACTCACAGAAAGAGAAACTGAAAAAACAATCCCATTTACCATCGCACCCAAGAAATTAAGATAGCTAGGAATAATCTTAACCAAATAAGTAAAGGAACTATTTGCAGAAAACTACAGGTCATTGAAAAAAGAAATAGAGGAAGATATAAAAAAGTGGAAGCACATACCCTGTACATGGATTGGAAGAATTAACATCATTAAAATGTCCTTACCACCCAAAGCAATCTATAGATTCAATGCAATCCCCATCAAAATTCCAACGACATATTTCATAGAACTAGAACAAATACTTCAAAAGTTCATATGGAACCAAAAAAGTCCCCGAATAGCCACAGCAATCTTGAAAACGAAGGACAAAGTACGTGGGATCACAATACCAAATATCAGGTTATACTACAAAGTGACTGTAACTAAAAGAGCCTGGTACTGGCACAAGAACAGGCATATAGACCAGTGGAACAGAACCGAAAACCCAGAAATGGACCCAAGGGAATACGTTCAATTAATAATTGACAAAGGTGGCAAGAGCATACAGTGGAATAAAGACAGCCTCTTTAATAAATGGTGTTGGGAAAATTGGACAGCTACATGCGAGAAAATGAAACTAGACCATCAACTTACACCATACACAAAAATAAACTCAAAATGGATAAAAGACTTAAATGTGACCCGTGAATCCATAAAAATTCTAGAAGAAAATGTAGGCAACAAAATTTTGGACATCATACGAAGCAGAATTTTCACTGATACATCACCTAAGGCAACAGAAACAAAGGAAAAAATGAATACATGGGACTACATCAAACTAAAAAGCTTCTGCACAGCAAAAGAAACAATCATCAAAATGGAAAGGCAACCCACTGCATGGGAGAACATCATTACCAATGATGTATCAGATAAGGGACTAATTTCCAAAATATATAGAGTGCTCATACAACTCAACAAAAGGAAGACAAAGAACCCAATTAAAAATTGGGCAGAGGAGCTGAATAGACACCTCTCCAAACAGGACATACAAATGGCCAAGAGACATATGAAGAAATGCTCAACATCACTAATCATCAGAGAGATGCAAATTAAAACAACAATGAGGTATCACCTCACAACTCTCAGAATGGCCGCCATCAACAAATCATCAAACAAGTGTAGGCGAGGGTGTGGAGAAAAGGGGACTCTAATACACTGCTGGTGGGAATGCAGACTGGTGCAGCCACTATGGAAAACAATATGGTGTTACCTCCAAAAATTAAAAATTGAACGTCCATTTGACCCAGTGATTCCACTTCTAGGAATATACCCTAAGAAGCCTGAAACACCCATATGGAAGAATATATGTACCCCCATGTTCATAGCAGCACTATTTACAATAGCTAAGATCTGGAAACAGCCCAAGTGTCCACCAGTAGATGAATGGATAAAAAAGCTGTGGTACATATACACAATGGAGTACTATGCAGCAGTAAGAAAGAAAGATCTCTTATCCTTTGAGACGACATGGAGTGACCTGGAAAGTATTATCCTCAGTGAAATAAGCCAAGCAGAAAAAGGCAAATACCACATGATCTCACTTATATACGGAATATAATGAACATAACAGTCTGAGGAATACGGTAGACCCAGAGACATGGAAGTGGGGCACAGACTGACATCCTTCAGAAGAGGGGGTGGGGGGAGATAAACCACAGAACTTATATGCATGTATGCATGACCAATGGACTTGGACAACTAAGCTGGGGATGGGGCGGAGGTGGGGTGGGGAGGGGGGTGCCAATGGGGTAAAAAAGGGGAAATATCTGTAACAAAAAAAAGAAGAAAAAAATTTAAAAAATAAAAAACTTCCTGCAGACCAATGAAAATGAACCCACAACAACACAAAATTTATGTGATGCAGCAAAAACAGTTGTGAGAGGGAAGTTCATAGCCCTAGAGGCCTACCTCAAGAACTAAGAGAAATTTCTAATTGATTGTCTAACCTCACAACTTAAAGAATTAGAAAGCGAACAAAAAGAAAACCCCAGAGCAAGTAGAAGGAAGGAAATAGTAAAGATCAGAGTATAAATAAATGACATAGAGACCAAAAAAAAACAATTCAAAGGATCAATGAAACAAAGAGTTGGTTTTTCGAAAACATAAATAAGATTGATGGACCCTTAGGTAGATTCATCAAGAAAAATAGAGAGAACCCAAATACAGAAATGATAGAGGAGAAGTAACAACCGACCACCACAGAAATACAAAAGATTGGCAGTTCCCTCCGTGTCCCCCGGATCTGTCTCTTGCTTCAACAGTGTTTGAACAGAACAGACCCAGGGACATCCCCTCTTCCAGCTTCTAACCACCTTCCAACCTCTTCTTCAAGCACCACCTTCGGAACCGCCTCAGCCTCCGAGACCAGCCAACATCATTTTCTTACCTTAACCCTTACTGCGGAACAACCATGAGCTCCCAAATTCGTCAGAACTATTCCACCGTGGTGGAGGCTGCGGTCAACAGCCTGGCCAACCTGCATCTGCAGGCCTCCCACACCTACCTCTCTCTGATCTTCTATTTCGACCGTGATGTTGTGGCTCTGGAGGGCGTGGGCCACTGCTTCCACGAGTTGGCGGAGAAGAAGCGCGAGGGCACTGAGCATCTCTTAAAGCTGCAAAATCAGCGCGGTAGCCGCGTTCTCTTCCAGGATGTGGTGAAGTCTTCCCATGATGAATGGGGCAAAACTCAGGATGCCATGGAAGCCACTTTGGCCTTGGAGAAGAACCTAAACCAAGTCCTTTTGGATCTGCATGCCCTGGGTTCTACTCATGTAGACCCTCATTTCTGTGACTTCCTGGAGAACCACTTCCTGGAGAAGGAGGTGAAACTCATCAAGAAGATGGGCAACCACCTGACTAACTTCCACAGGCCGGCTGGATCCCAGGCTGGGATGGGCGAGTATCTCTTCGAAAGGCTCACCCTCAAGCACAACTAGGAGCCTTTGGAGCCCAGAGGTCTTTGAGGAGCACCTTTGCATTCCCCTGGTGTCTGGATTTTGCCTGAGCCTCTCCCTGAAACCACTAGACATACCTTTTACCACCCTGGAGCCCTCTCCCATGCCTTGGACCAATTGGAAACAATAAAGCTTTTAGCAACAACAACAACAACAAAAAAGGGAAATACAAAAGATTATTAACAGCTACTAAAAACAATTATATGGCAACAAATTCGACAATCTAAGTGAAATAGACAACTTTCTAGAAAAACATAGTCTCCCAATAATGGACCGGGAAGAGATAGAAACTTTGAGCAGACCAATAACAACTAAGAAAATTGAAGAATTAATCAAGACTCTCCCAGCAAACAAATGCCCAGGCCCGGATGGCTTCACAGGGGAGTTTTATCATTTACATTAAAAAAACAGCTAACACCCATTCTCCTCAAACTATTTCTAAAAATTCAAGAAGAAGGAATCTTCCAAACTCGTTTTATGAGGCCAGCATAATTTGAACTCCAAAACCAGAAAAAGACACTACGAAGAAAGAAAACTACAGGCCAATATCCCTGATGAACATAGACGCCAAAATCCTGAACAAAATACTAGCAAATCGGATCTAACAATACATCAAAAAAATTATTCACGCCCTGGCCGGTTTGGCTCAGCGGTTAGAGCGTCGGCCTGTGGTCAGAGAGACCCGGGTTCGGTTCCCGCTAAGGGCATGTACCTCGGTTGCAGTTTGTCCCCGGCCCTGGTCGGTTGTGCGGGTAGCAGCCACTCGATGTGTTCCTTTCACGTCGATGTTTCTCTCTCTCCCTCCCTCCCTCCCTCCCTCCCTCCCTCCCTCCCTCCCTCCCTCCCACTCTACCTGAACAAAAAATGGAAAAATGCCCTAGGGTGAGGATAAAAAAAAATAATAATAATTATTCACCATGACGAAGTGGAATTCATCCCAGGGATGCAAGACTGGTACAATATTCGCAAATCAATAAATGTGATACACCACATAAACAAAATGAAAAATAAAAACCACATGATTACATCAATAGATGCTGAAAAAGCATTTGACAAAACACAGCATCCAGTTCTGATAAAAACACTCAGCAATGTGGGAATAGAGGGATCATATCTCGACCTAATAAAGGCCATATATGAAAGACCTACAGCCAACATCATGCTCAATGGGCAGAAAGCAAAAACATTTTCCTTAAGAACAGGAACAAGACAATGATGCCCACTTTCGCCACTCCTATTTAACATAGTACTGGAAGTCTTTGTCACAGCAATCAGACATGCAGAAAAAATAAAAGGGATCCAAATTGGAAAGGAGGAAGTGAAACTGTCATTATTTGCAGAGACATGATATTATACATAGAAAACCCTAAAGACTCCATCAAAAATCTACTAGACTTAATAAATGAATTTGGCAAAGTAGCAGGATACAAAATTAACGTCAAGCAATCGATAGCATTCTTATACACCAATGATGAACTCACAGAAAGAGAAACTGAAAAAAAAAATCCCATTTTCCATCACGGCAAACAATTTAAGATACCTAAGAATAAACGTAACCAAAGAAGTGAAGGACATATTTGTAGAATACTATAGAACATTGAAAAAAGTAATAGAGGAAGATATAAAAAAGTGGAATCACATACCCTGTTCATGGATTGGAAGAATGAACATCATTAAAATGTCCATACTACCTAAAGCAATCTATAGATTCAATGCAATACCCATCAAAATACCAACAACATATTTCACAGAACTAGAAAAAATACTTCAAACGCTCATATGGAACCAAAAAAGTCCCCGTATAGCCACAGAAATTTTGAAAAAGAAGGACAAAGTAGGTGGGATCACAATACTAGATATCAGGTTACACTACAAAGAGACTGTAACTAAAACAGCCTGGTACTGGAACAAGAACAGGCATATAGACCAGTGGAACAGAACTGAAAACCCAGAAATGGACCCAAGGCAATACGCTCAATTAATATTTGACAAAGGTGGCAAGAGCATACAGTGGAGTAAAGACAGCCTCTTTAATAAATGGTGTTGAGAAAATTGGACAGCTACATGCAAAAAAATGAAACTAGACCATCAACTTACACCCTACACAAAAATAAACTCAAAATGGATAAAAGACTGAAATGTGACCCATGAATCCATAAAAATTCTAGAAGAAAATGTAGGCAACAAAATTTTGGACATCATATGCAGCAGAATTTTCAGTGATACATCACCAAAGGCAGCAGAAAAAAAGGAGACACATGGGACACATGTAGACACATGGGACTACATCAAACTTAAAAGCTTCTGCACATCAAAAGAAACAACCATCAAAATGTAAGGGCAACCCAGTGTATGGAAGAACATCATTGCCAATTATACATCAGACAAAGGGTTAATTTCCAAAATATATAGGGTATTCATACATCTCAACAAAAGGAAGACAAAGAACCCAATTAAAAATGGGCAGAGACACTGAATAGACATCTCTCCAAACAGGACATAGAAATGGCCATGAGACATATGAAGAAATGCTCAACATCACTAATCATCAAAGAGATGCAAATTAAAACAACTATGAGGTATCACCTCACACCTGTCAGAGTGGGCACCATCAACAAATCATCAAACAACAAATGTTGGCGAGGGTGTGGAGAAAAGGGGACTCTAGTACACTGTTGGTGGGAATGCAGACTGGTGCAGCCACTATGGAAAACAATATGGTATTACCTCAAAAAATTAAAAATTGAACTTCCGTTTGACCCAGTAATTTCACTTCTAGGAATATACCCTAAGAAGCCTGAAGCACCAATCAGAAAGAATATATGTACCCCTATATTCATAGCAGCACTATTTACAATATCTAAGATCTGGAAACAGCTCAAATGTCCTTCAGTAGATGAATGGATAAAAAAGCAGTGGTACATATTCACAATGGAGTACTATACAGCTGTATGAAAGAAAGATCTCTTATCCTTTGACACGACATGGAGGATCCTGGAAAGTATTATCCTAAGTTAAACAAGGCGAGCAGAAAAAGACAAATACCAGATGATCTCCCTTATTTATGGAATATAATAAACATAACAGTCTGAGGAATAGGGTAGACTCAGAAACATTGAAGTCGGGTACAGACTGACAATCCCCAGAAGACAGAGTGGAGGGTGGAGGGAAGAGATAAACCACAGAACTTATATGCATGTATGCATAACCAATGGACATGGACAACAAAGCTAGGAATGGGGCGGGGGGATGGGGAGGAGAGTGTCAATGGGGTAAAAAAGGAGAAACAATTGTAACAAAAATAAAATTGAAAAAAAAAAGAATAGTCTATTAAATACATGGTTCCAAAATATATAAAGAACTTATACAACTCAACAACATGAACACAAATAATCCAATTTAATTTTTTTAAATCCTCACCTGAGGTTATTTTTTCATTTATCTTCAGATACAGTGGGAGGGAGGGAGAGAGAGAGAAACATCAATGTGAGAAAGACACATCAATTGGTTGTCTTCCACACGACTCCAACCAGAGCCTGAAACCAAACCTCAACCAAAGTACATAACCTTGACCGGAATTGAACCTGCTACTTTTTAGTCTGCAGGCTGATGCTCTAACTGCTGAGGTAAACTTGCCAGGTCCAAAAGTTCAATTTAAAATATGGGCCAAAGGACCATAACTTTCCAAAGAGTACATACACATGGCCAAAAGACATGAAAAAATGCGCAACATCACTAATCATCAGAGAAATGCAAATTAAAACCACAATGAGATTTCAACTCACACCTGCCAGAATGGCTACTATCAATAAAATCAACAAAAACAAGTGCTGGTTGAGGGTGTGGAGAAAGGGGAACCATAGTGTGTTGCTGGTGGAAATGCCGACTGGTGCAGTCACTGTGGAAAACCGTAGGGTGGTTCCTCAAAAAATTAAAAAATGGAAATGCCTTTTGACCTAGTGATCCCACTTCTGGGAATATATTTTAAGAATCCTGAAACACCAGTGTGAAAGAATATATGCACCCCTATGTTCAATGCAATATTATTTACCATTTGTATATCTTATTTGGAGTAATATTTGTATCAAGGCCCTTGCCTATATCATTATGAAAGTTTGTCTTTTTGTTGTTGAGTCATAGAGTTTCTTATATCCTTCTGGCTGTTAAACCCTTATCAGATACATGATTTACAAATATTTTCTCCCATATATGGGTTGTTATGCAGTCTTTTTTTTTTTTTTTTTATCCTCACCTGAGGACATTTTTCGATATTTTGTTCAGATAGAGTGGGAGGGAGAGAGAGAGAGAGAGATACATCGACGTGAAAGGGACACATTGAGTGGCTGCCACCCGCACGACCCAACCAGGGCCGGGGACAGACTGCAACCGAGATACGTGCCCTTAGCGGGAACCGAACCCGGGTCTCTCCAGACCGCAGGCTGATGCTCTAACCACTGAGCAAAACCGGCCAGGGCTTGTTATGCAGTCTCTTGATAGTGTCCTATCTAAGGACAATATCTAAGATCTGGAAACAGCCCAAGTGCCCATCAACAGATGAGTAGATATGAAAGCTGTGGTACATTTACACAATGAAATACTATGTGGCCATAAAATAGAAGGAAATTGTACCATTTGCAACAGCATGGAGGGACCTGAAGATTATTATGATAAATCAGAGAAAGATAAATGCTATGTGATCTCACTTATATGTGAAATCTAGTGAACAACATAAATTGATGAACAAAACAGAACCAGAGGCATGGGTACATGGAACACACTGACAGCTATCAGAGGGAACTAGGTGAAAGAGGTGAAGGGATTAGCCAAGGAATATATATGCATAACCTACAGACACAGAAAACAATGTGGTGATGACCATAGAGTGGCAAGGGTGGTGGGAGCTGGGTGGAGGGGGGCAAAGAGGGGGAAATGGGGGACATCTGTAATAGTGTCAACAATAAAAATTTAAAAATGCAAATGGT